CGAGGTGCTCCAGGCTCACCGAGAAGGCGTCCATGCTCTCGTAGCCCTGCTCGATCTTCTCCAGCCTGCCGCCCTTGGACGCCTCCACGATCCTGGGCAGGGAGAGCATGGCCGTGTGTCCCCTCGTGTCCCCTCACTGAGCCACGGGGTGCCGCTTGGGCACCCCATGGCCAAATCCTGCCCTGCTGAGGGACAGGGACTGGGGCTGGGTGAATTTTCCCCAGTTTGGGGCACTTACGTTTTAATGAGCTGCTTGGCGTTCTGCGGGGAGGAAGAGGAGAGATGAGCGGAGCCACACAGCAGCCACCGGGATGTCCCCAAGCTGGGGTCCCCGAGCCAGTGGGACCCCACGAGGACACCAGTGGGACCCCATGAGGCCACCAATGGGACCCCATGCGTGTACCAGTGGAACCCATGAGGACACCGATGGGACCCCATGGGGACAGCAGTGGGGAGGGCAGGGGGGAGGTCTGGGGGGTCTCACCATGAGGAAGGTGGCCCCCCCAGTCTCCTCCATGGCCTGGATCGCCGTCTCCACCAGCCGCCTGGACTTTTCCAGCTGCTCCTTGTACTGGCGGATGAGCCCCTGCACGAAGCCGGTTTTGTCGCTCTGCTCCTGGACGATGCGCTGCAGCAGCTCCGATTTTTTCTCCTCCAGCACGGCCGAAAAGGCGTCAAAGCGAGCGCACAGCTCCTGCTTGGCCGCCTCGCTGTTCTCCTGCGGGGACAAGGGATGCCATCGGGGTGTCCCTCAGCACCAGCACCATCCCCATGGCATCCCTGCTCCCTCCTGGCCACCCCAAATGGCCCCTGGCTGAGGTTCCACACCCCCCTGGGGTTTTGGGGGGCTCCTTTTCCCCCTTTTCTCACCTCGGTGCTCCGGCACGACTCCTCCAGCTGGGAGATGATGGTCTGGATCCGGTCGTTCCCGGCCACCAGCATGGAGATGCAGTTGTTGAGCTCGGTCTGGGCGGGGATGGATGGACAGAAGCAGCTTGAACCCCAGCGGGGACGGGGACATCTCCCACCCCGACATGGGCTGAGCACTGCCCAGCCCCAGCTCCGCTCCCCCCCACGTCCTCCCCAAACCGCGGCCAA